AGGGGTTCCCTAGAGCGGTGCTATGAGCGGATGCGTATGTGCGTTAAAAAAAACCATTCCCTATTTCATCCCCTTTAAGATTTATTTTTGTGACAAAAAATAGCCTTTGTCTTTACTCTAAGTCCCATCTATTTGTATACAAAAATTCATCAAATTTTATTGACCGCTTTAAGCGTGAAAACACTTCACAGACAGAGTTACTTTCACATTTATAACATTTATAATATTTTCAAAAGAAATTACAATTGTTGCTATTCAAAACCACTTGAAGATAAACATAATTTGTATGAAGAATACATAACTCGTATTTCTCCCTAATTTTGACGTCACGAAAACAAGTTTAATTTAAAAAGTTCTCCATCCGTAAACTGTATATTAATAAACTTAACACTAAAGAACATATCTCCAAAAAATAATTCAATTTCCTTAATAATGACCCTTTGTGCTTAAATCACACAAACTATCTAATATATTTAATTATGAATTTAATAATTAGCTCGACTTGCATCGCTAGTCCATTACCCGAAACCACCCAAGTGTTGGTGGGGTGAGAAATTAATGAATTACCGACTGTCCAAACAAAGGAGACCCATGAAAAAGAATAACAAAAAACCAAAGGTTCCTAAATTGAGAATACGTTGTAGATCTTTTTAAACAAGTCGGCAGTCAGAAGTTGGAAACCCACCGGTTTAAATGATATTACCAAGTCGTCCATTACGTGGTATCATCTAGATCAAAAAATATGTCCAATTATCGGAACATTCATCATAGTACGTTATTTGTTTTGACAGCCATGTAAGTGGGTCCAGCGGTGTGTTTTTTAATACCTAATTGCCAGTTGTGTTTCGAGTTTCCGTTAGAGTATATTTATGAATCAAATTTGGGCAAGCATTGTGGCGCCGACAGATTTGCTCGATTTTTTGACGATCGACACGTTTGAGCGAACAAAACGCGTAGTTGTGTAAGTAGCAGAAGATCGACATCGTGTTTTTTGTCCGACTCGTGTGATCACAAAAATTAAAGTAAATGTTTGTGACAGGGACGATTTATAGGTAATGTATTTTATGTCGATCGACAAAATCGAGTAAATGTAGCACTAGACAATCGACAATGTAATTTGTATCGATCGACACTATGAAATTAAAATTAGGCGTTTGTGCATTTATACGAATTTAACCTTGATATTCACCGATAGCTAACAGACTGTAACGATTAACAAAATCGATCAAATGTGTCGATTGATAGATCTTATAAAAACAAAGCACGTCGAACACCAATAACGATTGTCAAAACACGAGCTAATCTAGTAAGCACCCATTGATCGTTAAAGCACATCATGTCGAGCGACAATAACGAGATAGATAGATATAGATGCAGTAGTCTCATAGTAAGTCAAATTTGCTTAAAATAACATTATCAGTACAACCAACCCTTTGCGACATTTGACACAGGAAAACACAGAGACACTTTGACAACTTTGACTTGCTATCTATTTCACCGACTAATTCGGTAAACGCTGTTGGATAGCGATATTTTAACCAAATCTGAATCGAACGTTTTAACTCGAATGTTCTAAATAGCTCGGAAAGCGCTCTTCGATTCGAGAACAATATCCAATCGGACGATTCGGTTAAAATATCGAAGAGTTCTGAATCGGGGTCCAGGACAGCCTGCAAATTACTCAACTCCACCAAGACTCTCAGCCTCAACAACAGTCGTGTTTAGGCTCTTTATATTAGTCTCGTCGATTAGTTGACTTTCAAATTATGGCTTTCTGGAGTACACTGTTTTATATCGGCGACGTATTTATTATATAAAATTTTAATAGCATTTCTTTTTGTGTAACTAATGAACCTTAAAATCCTAAAAATACACATACATTCTAAGTACATAGATGTACCTATGTACTACGTTTTGACTAGTATCACTTTATTATACATTACGCAACATGGAGTCCAAAATATTTTCTTTGTGCAAATAATCTTAAATTAAGTCAATGCCGTAGTTTATATCATCTCTTACAACACTAAGCGACGTAAAAAATAATACAAAAAAAATACAAAAATGATAGATAGATAGATAGATAGATAAACACTTTATTCACTGATATAACACAAATACAGATTTAGCATAAAAGAAAAAACAAAACATGATTGTCATAGCAGTGAAACGGCGCTGACTCAGCATATGCCAAAGTTTCCTAAGGCGCTGGTTTTCAGTCAGAACCAACGAGAGGGATTAAGTTACTAGAAAGCAAAAATATAACGACTTTGAGTAAAGTTATACATTGACAATAATAATATACATAGTAAAGTGTAAATAGTGCATTTAAAATAACCTGCTTGACATATAAGTGCATGAGCAAATGTGAATATAATTATAGCTGTAGGTGTAAGTTATGACTGTAAAGAGGATTTAATGTTGTGTAATGTAATTAGTATTATAATATAATTATACACATAATAAGAATAGATCAAAGCAACAACAAAATTCGATTCTAGACAGACTACGTTAAAGAATAAAAACACACTACACAGATTTTTGAAGTGAGAGTAGGTGTTGCCGGTACAGTGCTTTGAATTTGGGTTTGGATGTCTCGTTGCGTATAGGTGGTGGAATATTATTCCAGCACTTTGAGGCCGAGTATTTGAAACTACCTCGAAAAGCTGTAGTTCTATGTTGTGGTACCATTAGAACACAAGATCGGACAGATCGCTCTCTGTAGCGTACATTAACACTAGATGACCACATTAGTTTATCATAAAGATATTCAGGTGTTCTAGTTTTTGCTATATCGAATAAAAGTCCTGCATACAGGAGTTTTTGACGAGACCCGATATTTAGTAGATTTGCAGCGTTGAGATAAGGAGTGACGTGAATACGAGGGGGTATAAAAAACAGAATCTGGCACATGCATTTTGGACACGCTGCAGAAGTTTGTGTGTTTTAGACAAAATGCATGGACCATACGACGTGATACAATGAATACAATTCATTCCATAATAGTTGATCTTAGATAATATCAATGCTTCACATAGAGAAATACGCAAATCAACACTGAGAAACGGTCGAATACCGTAGATCACTTTTAACCTATAGAAGCAACTGCGAACAAGTTGTTCGCAGTTGCTTCTATAGGTTAAAAGTAAAAATGTTAAAAATAACGTACATTTTGAAATCATTAACAAAAATAAAAAAGAAATTACAAACGCTGAAGACATCTCTTAAAATTGTTTAACGGTACAGACATCATTGTAGCAGCGAAACATTCAAATATCTAACAATGTCACACACCTTGTCGTTGTTTCTGATTTCCATAACACAAGTGCTTTAGTTACATACTTTGGAAGTGATGTTGTCTAATATATAATAAGCGCGGTGCGGTATCTATTCTAAATTATCAAATACCGTCGTCGGCAAAATAAGCTTCACTTTAAGCTACTTGTCAGCAATTTAAAAAAACTGATTATGTATAACATACGGTTAGGGTGTTTTATTGTACAATAAATTGATTCCTCAGGTTTTTTCTTCACTATAGCTAGGGTTGGCTAGAAGTGACCACAGAGATAAGCTCACCTTCGCAACATACGCGTTACAAATCAAAACAACAGCGTCAGGTTTATAAATTTCGATTATAATTCACCCATTCTTATCACCGCACCTGTCAATGTACACAATAAATTGTCTCCGTTCAACTATTGTAGGCATCTCTCGAATTCCGGAAACGATAATAACACTAGACAAAAAGTGCGATTTGTTGGTCCACTGGTCTAATTTGCCACCGCAGCGTCCGGACTTGAGCAATCTACGAGCGGATCTCGACTTCCTCAAAATCGCGGGATGTGGCTGCAGTGGACCAACACGAAATTGCGTTTTATGTTTAGATTGTTTAGATGCAACTAGTGGAAAAAAAAAAACAGCTTGGAGAGCAGGGAATAAGCAGCGACAGATGGGAACTCTTGTTTTTACAAAAATTTAACATAATTTATCCAATCCAATCCAATCATAATTTTTCCAACCATGTTATTATGTCAAAGTATAAAAAAGAAACGTAATTCGAAATCTGAATAATATTATATATATATATATATATATATATATATAATAATTTTTCGAACGCATCCGGATTTGTTTGAATATTCTTTTTATAATACCAAATGATGGGAAGAACAAGTCCTTTACCTTGTGTTAAACGACGTACCCGTCCATAGCAGTGGCAGAGCCCCCTGAATAATATTATATATATATATATATATATATAATAATTTTTCGTACGCATCCGGATTTGTTTGAATATTCTTTTTATAATACCAAATGACGGGAAGAACAAGTCCTTTACCTTGTGTTAAACGACGTACCTGTCCATAGCAGTGGCAGAGCCCCTCAAAACAATCAATCGCAAGAGATCTGAAGCACACTGCCACTGCGGCCGTTATCTTGACACATGAATTGACAAGTCACATGGGTCTTATAACTTCACCAGCACCCTTATGCTTCAATACCGGAACGTGGTAAGGTTCACATTACTGCTTGGGGTCTGAAATTGGTACAATGACAGTACTTCCATGGGTGTTTCTTTTTCCTTTGCGAATAAGAATTCTAATTGTACATGTATCTGTATTGCCGATATGATGTTAGATAATAATAATAATAACGTACACACTCAACATAGCTCCGTACTAGGAAAACCCTGTGTGGCGAGTGCCATGGATACACACATAGACAACCACAAATTACACCCAAACTCACGAGAGAAATCCAAAAAGAAAGATCCAAATATCTCCCGGCCCAGGAATAACCTAAACCTGGGACTTCTGCGTGGCAGTCCGGCATGGTAATAGTTCGGCCACAGAGGCAGATAGATAGATGTTATGCAAGCGCATAGTTATTTTCAGTCATGCAATGCGAGGAGCGAGCGTTACTTATGGTAAAATTTTATATAAAGTCGTGATTGAAAACTGAGCGATAAATCATGGACTTTTATAGAATCATTGTTACAGAAATTCTGCATCGAGGCGACCTATCCTCGTCCATGGAATCACTAGCATACGACTCGGTGGCGTCACCTGGAAGCGTGTCAAGCCACTCCCAGCGCACCAAGAGAATGCGTACCAGTTTCAAACACCACCAGCTGCGCACCATGAAATCTTACTTCGCCATCAATCAGAACCCTGATGCTAAAGATTTGAAGCAACTTGCCCAGAAGACTGGATTATCAAAGAGGGTCCTACAGGTACGCCTATTTCTGTTTCAATTTCAAATGTGGTCTCCTCCACGTGTCCGACAGTAAGAGCCTTTGCACACGGCGTATTTTATACGCGCCGTAAACGGGCGTAATCTGTGCGTATACGCAGACGCGCTGTAGTGAATTAGTGAATCGATTCAAACGCATGCAAACATCGCGTTGCAAGCAATAAGCTTATATAGAATTTCATGTAGTTGCTTCATTTAGGGGGGAATTTTTGGACTTTATATTTCTATATAAAGTTTTTACATTATGCAGACTGTCCATAACCGCTCGCAAAATTTAATTGCAAAATTCCCTTAAGATATCCTAGGTCTGCTATTACAAACTTTAGCATCCCAAGACTCTACAGACTAAGCATGGTCAGGTGACATATTTTGGCAGTAGCTACACAAATTTCGTAATAGTATTATATTAAACGTTTTCCCCCCATCAAGTTTTTCCATCTAGTTTGATACTGTCCGAGTCCCTTGTTCACTTGTGTTTATTGTACTTGTTTATATTACTTTTTTCTTTTAAATTTAAGTTGCTGCACACCAAGGCGCGACTTGCGCGAGAACGACTGGCGCGTCCTGTTGTGTTAGCCTTCTGTTTTAAATTTCTGTTTTAAATTCGAACGTTGTTTTTGCAACATGTGTTCACTCATAAATAGCGCAATTTAGATAATATCTTCACCAAATTTAATTCATAGTATGTAACATTGTAATAACTGTAAGTGAACCATTTACAGGTGTGGTTTCAAAACGCTCGGGCGAAATGGCGTCGAAACTTGATGCGTCAGGAGTCTAACCACAACACATTGACTCCAAACGGAAATGCCGCTCATAATGGCAATGGAACAATTGTATCTGGAGTCCCAAACGACGTAGGAACACCAATGATGTTGTCGGAACAGCTACAGCCCATGGAAGACATGAGGGTCCACACCCCACACCCGCATTCAATGGTTTTTAGTGAAATGTATTGACAATCATATGACTGTTTGGCGATACGAAGTTTCGCGCGTAGATACCCATGAAGTTACTTCCTTTTTAAGTAATTCAGCTGACCGGACACACTGATATCTGCTGTGGAATTTCAAACAATTGATGTATTGACTGTGCGATCATTGACTATTGTCGCCACCGTTTCGAATTTCCATCTACAGTCTATTTGAGAAATTATTAACTACTAATAGCCATTTTAGAGTAGTATTACTGTTAACTACATAGTCAGGATTAAGCACTACCATTATTCAAATGCACTAACTGTAAACTCGCCTTCAGCTGTATCATAAATATTCTCATTTCAAAAACGTTCCAGTCTCGTCTGCTACGATTGTTACTTTTTTTAGGATACTTATTGCTATTATATGATTGAGCTTTGATAATGTAGTAACAAAGCTCCCAGACGACTACCTTGAAAAGCGCCAGAAAGCGTCAGAAAGCGTCTGTACAAATCTTTATATTCGTGTAATAGCCAGGGTTTCAATGGCGGCACCATTATGGCTTCATTTTTGGTCGAAAAACTATTGCAGCAAATTTTTGATAATTCTTTTCCTCCGACTGTTGTATTATTTGTTCTGCATTATAACTTGGTAAAGAATCAAAAATAAGATTTTAGTAAATGGAAATTGGAACAGCTCCGACTGTTGTGGCGGTCGAGCTGGGAGTCAACGTGGTACGATAACAAAATGAGACAGTGAAAGAAGATGGAACAATTCAAATATAAAATTTAAATACATGTAAAATAAAAAATGATAGGATACAAGCGGAGAGAGGCGATACAAAGAGGTGAGATGACGGTGTAAAGAGGTCACACCGTCACAACCTACTACCTTTTAAAAGATTAATTTAAACTAAGATCGTGACATACGGCATATATGGCTATGAATACTACAAGTTGGATTTGATCTGAGAATTTACTCATTTTTATGTTACCTGACTTAAACTTATTTTGTTCCTAATTAATTCCTTTAAAGATTTCAACTAAGTTATTTTTATCACTTAAACCTAATTTTAACGCTTGTACATAGATAAAATCAACAACTTTATTGTATCTTTTAATTTAGGACATAAGCAAATGGCGTTTATCATACATCCTAAGAATATTGAAAATCAATGTTATTTTGTAATTTTTTCAATTCATATCATCTTGTGTGCATCGCTAGTTATTGTTTAAAATTATTACTGTAATAATATCCACCAACTTATAAATTTGATGGAATAATATTTTATTTACAAGGTTCCATTCAGAATTTTTTTTAATTTATTGCTGGCCATGGAAACAAAGTCCTTCAGCCGAAAACATAAACGTTTAATTATATTTCTGTAAATATGGCCACCACAAAGAGGATAGGCAATTTGAGGCGGCGTGTTTGGATTGACTCGGGATTCCTTAGAACGGGCCGATACGGGTATTTTAGTTCGAGATTCGTATAATTTCGCGTTTTAATCTTCGATTAAGGCACAATAGCACTATCCTATTCCACTTTAAACTAGATTTCACAAAATAATTGAAAGTCAAAATAAAAACGACACTTTTCCCTCCAAAAGGCCCAGAGCGAATCCCCATTCAGAATTTCAGATTCGATGTTGCCATGCAAATAATTTATGTTCCGTCACGACATTAAGTTACGTCGCTTAGTGTTGTAAGAGATGATATAAACTATGGCATTGACTTAATTTAAAATATAATTTAAATATTTTGGACTCCATATTGCGTAATGTATAATAAAGTGATACTAGTCAAAACGTAGTACATAGGTACATCTATGTACTTAGAATATATGTGTATTTTTAGGATTTTAAGGTTCATTAGTTACACAAAAAAAATGCTATATTGAAAAAAAAAAGGTTTAAAATTTTATATAATAAATACGTCGCCGATATAAAACAGTGAACTCCAGAAAGCCATAATTTGAAAGTCAACTAATCGACGAGACTAATATAAAGAGCCTAAACACGACTGTTGTTGAGGCTGAGAGTCTTGGTGGAGTTGAGTAATTTGCAGGCTGTCCTGGACCCCGATTCAGAACTCTTCGATATTTTAACCGAATCGTCCGATTGGATATTGTTCTCGAATCGAAGAGCGCTTTCCGAGCTATTTAGAACATTCGAGTTAAAACGTTCGACTCAGATTTGGTTAAAATATCGCTATTCAACAGCGTTTACCGAATTAGTCGGTGAAATAGATTATAAGAAAAATTAAAACCCTTTTATTTACATTTTTAAGACTTTAGATGCCTCAAATATGGGAATGCATGGCTTTGCATTAAAATAAAATAAGACATTTCCATATTACATTCTTGTTTTGTAAACAATAGGACGTTCGGTAACTTTCATGCGATAATAGTGTTCTCAATAACGTTTGTAGCCTTTACCGGTCGAGAAATTGGAGTGATCGTACGAGTGTGACGACATTTCGGTTTCGAATACGACAGTTTGACGATCGATTCGGAGTCGTGAATAAAAATGAAAAGAAATTGGTCGATAACTGAGTTATCGTAAGGCTCTGAATCTACCTCCCGGTTGCAATATAACTCACGGTCACCATAACGCACATAACAACTAACATAATATTATCTTATCTATTAAAAATGGCTATATATTTATATTAATATTACCCATTTAGTTTCAAAGCGACGGTATTGTCCTGTCATTTTGAAATTAAAGCGTATATGAATGACACATCAATATAGCGAAATTTTGGAGAAAAATTATTAATATAACGCTATTTTGAGATAAAACATATAATAACGCCATTTTTGAGATAATACTATGTTAGTTGTCACGTGCGATATCATTATAATGTCATAGGAGTTGCGTGATTAATAAATTTTCAAGTCGATCGGATAAATGGAAGAAAAGTATTTTTCGTAATATATATCCTTACATTAACTGGGAAAAGACAAATCGATCTGTAAACAACTGAATAGAGTTAAAAACCAAAACAACAAGGTTTGCAACAAGCATAATATGGAAAAATTCGTAAGGTCCTCTAGTTCTATGGCTTATTTTCATACTTTTATTGGTTCTCCATACAAACTTTAATACCCTATTTCAACCTATTTAAGAGCCTATAACAAATGGCTTTGGTTGATTTAGCATAACAGTGAATGTGTTGAATAAATCACTTTGGAAATAATCTCAGTACAGAGTACTAAAAAAACTGACCTCAAAAGTACGTGGAATTACGTCTAATCGGTTCTCACTACTCAAAATATATAGAGAAAAAAACGCCTTGATTTGGAGAAATAGCAAAATCAACCATTAAAATAATTGCACCTTAAGTAAATTTTAGGCGCTATTTATAAAAATGAATCTTCATGCATGAACCCACCCTTAGAGCTGGATGATTTTCTTCAAAATGAAATGGGACCACTATGGAAGTACCCCCTTTCCAACAAAAAAAGAATCTTGACAATCGGTTCACAAATACCGGAGTTATGACGTAACGTGCATACAAAAAAGACATACAGTTGAATTGAGAACCTCCTCCTTTTTTGAAGTCGGTTAAAAATATATAGGTAGTCAAATTGAGGCTGTACACTGATTACTATAAGGTGTGAAAACACGATTCCTAAATATTTTCACGATAAAAAATACGATAAGAAATTTTGCAAGAAAACCACTGTATTGTGTATAGGTACTTTACACATACCAATGATTTTTTTTATATCAATGTCCCTGCTGCTCGACCCAAGCAAAATTAACTGTATCAGTACGGAGAAAATTTGAATTAGAGCTAATGAGATAGTATCGAATGCTAAGATTTATTTTTGTCGCAAAAAGTAGCTTATGTCCTTTTCTTAGGTCCCATCTATCTCTATAACGAAATGCATTAATATTGGTTCAGCAGTTTAGGTGTGAAAACGTAATAGATATTTATTTTCGCATTTATATTATTTCGATTATATTTTTCTCTGACGTAAATGGTTACACAGATTCCGATAATGATAATAGATATTTCAACGCTTTTGCCGCGTCCATAAGTTATCATATTAATGATTAATGTTTTTTTAACAATAAATACGAAACTAGCGCTTGCAATTACTTTGATGTTAGATTACAAACTATCATATTTCATTGTCATAGATACGATAACTTACAGACGCAGTGACAGTGTTTGGAAAAATTCGTGGTTTCCGAATTTTCCCGATGTTACGTTTCACATTCAGTACAAAATATTTTTTTTATTTACGATTTTGATGCTTACGTATTTCGAAAATTTATTCACGCATAGTACGTACTGTTTGAGATTTTACGTTATACAGAATTTATGCTGAGACAGGGCCATTTCAGCACAAACTGTTACATATAATTTATATTTATGTTTTTCACTAAAAATATGTGTTTATATAAAAGTGTACTAATTTATCAACCGACTTCAAAAAAGGAAGAGGTTCCTCCGTTTTCTTTGTGTACCGATTTTGATGATTCGTTTTTGTTGGAAAGGGGGCAGGTACCTCAGTATTGGTCCCATTTAAATTTGAAGAATTCCACCTTTCCGCTTTTGATAAAACTTGGCAAATAGATGTAACTCCACGAACATTTGAAGTCTTTTTTTTTAATAAAAAAAATTATAATTATGTTATATGTGCTCGCGTTCATACCCTGTGAAACGATTGTAAATGTACGTTTCTGCTTGTATACGTATTGCATACATATCTATCTACATAACGTACTAACATTATCACAACTGTTATTTCTGCCGCGGTCTATGCAATACAATAACGATGCAAGAAGTACAAAAAAGCTACTTAAATTGTACAGTGGATGCGCCAAGATACTTGACCTCGTTACCGTCTATTTAGTTCTGTGCAGATCAGTGCTACGAAAAGTGTTAGCGAACTTACCCTATAATTTGTGATCCGCAAAATTAATTTTGGTATGACTATCTTATTGCATCGTTAGTGGATGACGTTTTAAGAAACTTTATAAGCCATTTGAGTTTGAGCAGAGGTCTCAGGTTTGATTCCCGATCCGGGAGAAATATTTGTATGTCCTACATTTACTTCTCGTGAGTTTGGATGTAATGTGATTGTAAATGAGTGTGTCCATGGCACCCGCGACACAGGGTTTCCCTAGTGAGGGACTATGTTGAGTGCATGTATTATTATTATTATTATTTTATTATTAAACGCAATTTTCACCCGCAAAACTGCAATTTCTTTACAGTTTTCTGGCGGCTCCGGGGTCAAGTACCTTAGTACGTATTATCGACTACACAAGTTCAAAAACATTAAACGCAATGTTAATTTTTTCCGATATTTCAGAGCTGTGACGCGCTAATGGCCCGTTTCGCATTCAATATGTAACTGACAGCATTAACAGAAAGCTGTGCTAATCGTTTGGTAATTTGACACAGGTCCAACATTGACAAGCGCCCGATGGCGACTGATGGGGCCGCTATAAACCGCTGGGTTATTAACCGTGCGCGGCCAGACTTATTCTTGAAATAAGAAAATATTGTAATACTGACTTTTTCAACTTACTGACCCTTAATG